CTGCCTATTAAACAGAGACTCGTTTTGCCTGGCAATAGTATACACATGGATGGATGGGCAGGATATAACCGATTATCGGATTTAGGATATATACACCATCACGTTAACAATTCTGATGATTTAGTCGATCGAAGAACCGGTACTCATACTAATTCAAAAGACGGTTTCTGGGGAAGATTAAAAAATGGAATAAGAGCAATAAATGGCTGTCAAAACCAAGTTATTTTTAGTCACCTGGATGAATACATGTATAGAAATTGGCTTAATTTAAAAAGCTGATACTGTCCATTATAACTGGGACATATTTTTATCTTATATTAGAGAAAAATACTCTGTTTAATGTGTTTTTCGTGCGTTTTTATATAAGTAAACGTAATTTTTGTGTAAAAACCCTTTTTTTTCCTGATTGGTTGGCTTAAGATTACTCGTGCGCTCGCATCCCTCGAGACGCTATTGTAAAACCTTGCTGCAAAAAGGATATAGAGAGACTTGGCAGTCTTGAAGGAACTGACGCGATAAACATTTACTTTAAGGTTGTATTATACCAGTCTTCTCTTTTATGTCGTGTACTCCACAAGTATGTAAAAAGAGACATGAAAGAATAAATCAACAGGTGTCTTAAAGTGAAGGCAGGTGAATGGTAGTCGGAGTAACCGATTAATTGTTGAGAAAACTCCTTTTAAATGATCCAATTACAATATTCAGACTTATTTGGATGTCCTAACTGGCTTTTTGATTATTATCCTCTTTTCTCCTGGGCTAGACATAATTCTTCTTACGACTGCAAATCATCGGTCGACCTAATCCTCATTAAGTGGCTTTCTTCTTGTGTAATCCCTAATTTAAATGCTTCCCTTCGCGGTTGTTCAATGATATTGATCATGTGTTGTCTTACGATGGCGATTCTGAACGAGTGAGTCAAGCTCATTCCGACCTTGGACTTTCTGTGAAAAATGTTTGCTGCGTGATCAATATAATGACAGAGATTTGGTCCCAAATTGTTCAGAGGATTATTCTAGATTCTCAGGTGCTTCTTACTTTTGGTTTAGTTCGTAAGTGAGAGAGAACTGGGTCTGTACAACTGCCTAATAGCATTGTTGAAGTAAATTGTAGTTCCTAACAGATTTTTTCACAAATAACTGCTTTTCTGCTCCATTTTGAGCAATATATTGTGCTCGAAACTTGGTAATCAGTAAACATTACTGTATAAGTAAAAACACCGTTTTTTGGTTCAGTGAAGAAATTTCTTTTCAATGACTTCATTTTCAAGCTGTACAGTCGTATTTATATTACAGAAAAAGGTTATTAAGTGGCACTAAATAATTGCTGAGTCGATATACATATATATGTGATAAGACATGTGTGCGTCGGTGGCACAGTGGTTAGGACTCTCACCGACCATGCACATGGTTCGAGGTTCGAGCACACGCCGAAGCACACCTGATATCTATGGTCGGCCTGCGAAATTTGGGCTACTGATATCCATGCTGAAAATTCTATACTTGTACCAAAAATACAGTGTGGAATCAAGCTGTAATCAAAAATAGAAATAAATAAAATAAGAATAACGGTAATTCAAAGGTGACACCATTTCTGAATTGATTGAAAATCGTTTATCTAAATGTATTAAAAGCACTTTACCTGCAGCTGACTTGCAACTAGTTTTTACCAGCCGAAACATGATTAGACAATGCGCCAAGGATAGATTACCACTTTTGTTCACATCTATGTGCATTTACTCTTTTACCTGCTCCTGTGGAGATGATTATATTGGACGTTGTAAGCGTAATCTCCGAAAACGTGTAGCTGAACACTCTCCGGTTTGGTTAATGAAAGGAGAACGTAGAACTGCGAAGTCGTCTATTTGTGATCACCTGTTACAGTCTGGTCATTTAGCCACACGTGATTCATACTTCAAGGTTATCTACATGTCAAAATTGAATCGCTCCAAAAGTTTGCGTTTTCTTTACTTATGCATAGCTAGCCGAAGCTTTAGCTATACATGAACAGAAACCTAAATGATGTGTTCAAAAACGTCTTGTCAAACGCCTTTCTTTACCTTGGTCATAGTAGAGTTCTTTCTAGTTTTTATTTTACCGCTTGAATTCATTCCACTTCACCTCACATCTTTATTCTTATCGTAATCGTACTCCTATTTTCTTTGAAAATTTTTAGACAACGCTTGATATTTTTATAATCAATTCACTTATAAAACAATCTTTAATAATTTTGTAATCCATCCACTTCAACTCTACCCCTTTTAACATTTTAATTATCGTTATTCTTATCACATATATATGTATGCTGACTGAGCAATTATTTAGTGCCACTTAATAACCTTTTTCTGTAATATAAATACGATTGTACAGCTTGAAAATGAAGTCGTTGAAAAGAAATTTCTTCACTGAACCAAAAAACTGTGTTTTTACTTATGAATCAATGGGTATTTTTCTTGATTACTGTATAACACTATGAGACTTTAGCAAAATAAATTTTACCCATAATCGAACTATACTTTACCACAGTGCACAAGTTTTATTCTTATGTTTTTTTGCTGTTGACGAGGCATCTTTTGACTGCACGTAACTTAAGAAGTTTCGGTTAGTAACACAGTAGGACGCGAAGATTGGCTTTCAGTATTCAGACAAAAACGCGCTGGTTTCAGTTTTTACTCTTAGTGATTCAATAGATGCAGGAAGTAAGTGGTTCTTCACATGATGAGCAACTGAAGAATAGCACTCAATCAATATTTGAAAAAACTACAGCTCAGTACCATTCATGGCCCGTTAGAAGGCTTTCAGTGGGGCTATGTGCGTTTTGCCTATAAGGGAACAGCTTTCTACCATACTTTTAATCTCGACCCTGTGAAAGTGAACCACTAACATGTAATAGTTCTTCTATTTTTATCAGATGCCAGTCAGCTGAATTTGATTAAATATATATTCTAATAGATAAGTAACAATCAAATTTCTGATTTCAAATGCCAGGCTGAATTTAGGAAATCCCTAGTCTTCGGTCAAATAACCTGCTTTTATAATTTATCGTAACTATGACAACACGAGTAATAAGCAATTGAATCAATTATATCCCAGATTTACTCTTTGTCAAATATAATTAAGATCGTGGAAAACACCCATAAGGATATTAGAAAGAAGAGAGCACGAAGTTCAGCAAAGACATCTTTTTCACGATTTCATTTTCAAAAGCTGTAAAACCGCATTTAAATACATAATTTTACACAGATACAATTCTCGTTTGATTCCACATAATTACGAAGGCAAATAAAAGTGTCGATTTTTTTTTCAACTAGATATGGTTTACGAGAGGCTTAGGAACAAAATTTTTTACACAGGATTAGAACGGATTACAAGTGTGTAAAACTGAACATGGAAATAATATTGAAATAATGATTTTCAACTTGAGATGAGAGTTAGGAGGTGTGAATATAGATTACACAGGCCTTAGAAATATTAATAACCACAAGGATAACTTAAAAATGGTTCACTCCTTAGTTTTCAGGGATTTGAACGGTTACAGGATTTCATCATGAGCTGATTTGAATTAGACAACCACTGAAATAGCTAGGATTATTGGACAGCTGTTCCTTCATAGCTTTAGGCTCTTCAGCACTACGCACTCACCATTGCTAGAACCCATGACACATCGGTTATAAGAGGATCTTGTGGACTATTCAGCCACTGGCACGCTATCAGATGGCTAGCAAGTGACTTCCAACTTTGGCCAACTCGCAACATATTGTATCCCAGTGGTGGTGCATAAATCCAACATAACTGGTTGTGATTCCGAAAATGAAAAGCGAAGTGTATCTAGACTAGCTACCTCTTATTGTATCTATCAGTTCAACTGATCCCCTGGAGCCAGTTATATCGGCCGATGCTCTAGGAGCCTAATCTTTCGTCATCAGAAACACCTACTAGTGTGGTTAAATAAAGCTGTTGTTAAAATCGTCCACATTTCTATATAAGATCATCTTCTGAGAGCAGGCCACAAAGCTAGCCATCATTCACAGGTCTTTCACTATCATCTACCACGTATTGAATAAATTACTAAACACCTGTGCATACCGCATACTCCAAGCAAGAGAGGCGGTTGCCATTCGGAAAAATCAACCACATCTCTGTGTTCAAACAAAGCAGGTCCACCAATTCATTCATAAAATTAATCTGGCCTGCCAAATAGCCTATATGTTAATGCACGTATTAAAAAAATTCAACAACACATATATACCACAGTTCGATACTAATGCATATAATAACCTAATGAAGATTTTAGAAATGTAATCAATCCACAATACTGATTCTACATCCCATCAATAAATAATGAACCTAAAATCAATATTTCTATAGATACGCCTGTCATTTGAATGTAGAACCGCATGACGAAGTGTTCGAAATGAATAACCTCAGTTCATTAATCAGTTTGTCAAATAAACAAAACAAATAAAACACTTCACTATTAGCACCTAATCAAATCATACCAAAGTGTTAATACTCATCAAGATGCTTCTCCCAATTAAAACACCATTCAGTCATCGGTTGGTTCACTGATGCTACATAAGAGGTATTCTCACTTCTTCACCTACACACACTTACATTCGTGTTAAACTGAAATATCTGGAACACCACCAACACCAACAACACCGAAAACAACCTATACACTACTAGTGATTACATCACCAGTCTACACACAGATTGCGATCGAATTTCACAGTGTCATTGTTAACCACTCGACGATATGTAGACGACAGTAGTGATATGAACAGAAATGCTGAACATCCTAACGTCCATTCACCACCGAATAACTGAGAATCAATATTGAATGAGAAGCTGACGACTACTCTGAAATTGTCTAGTCAAGTAAACGTAGTCATCCAATATCAAGGGACGAACAGTTGTCATCAGACCACTTTGAGGTCACATAAATAAATCGCCCACACACACACCACAACCAAATTACTTCACAGAAAGTAGATGCTCTCCTTAGTTAGAAGGAATTTGTATTAATCAATTTTTAAGTAAACTTCAAGTTAATTTACAGCACATCATACAAAAGAATAATAATTTAGAAAGAAGAAAATATCAACTTCAACTTGTACAGAATAAATGAAGACAAAAATTGATGCAACAGTACTCAAATGTTTGTAAACAAAAATCACAAGAAAACAAAGCAAAAAAACAAACACCAGCTACTCCGTCTGAAAGTCTCGATGTGGGCTGACTCAGTTCAGGTGAATTCAAGTCAGTTCAATCTGGGACCGGTTAACATTCTCCAAATGAAGCAAAGTGCAATTGTCACCGATACAAAGGGCGTTAATTTCTTAGCATCATTGCACAATTCAGTTGTACAGCAGTCGAGGAGATCCTTGATAGGGAATTTAGACGCGACATCTGTGCATGAGTCAACACATTTTCTTTGCATGAAAATTTTCGGAACACCTCCTTTCTACAAATTTCAAAGAAATTGAAAAGAATGAAAGGAGAAGGATTGAGATGAACTGCGATTCACTCACCAATCTGTGTGTGAACAGACTATCTAAACTGTCACGTTGTTGTTCATCGTAAAAGAAGGGAGATCGTTACCACTTAACAGATATTATTACAGAAGATTTTCATCTGGATCTATAACCTGAAGTGTAATGATACTTGTCTCACACTGAAATGACGTGACGTCTTCATCATTCGTGTGTGTCCCGAGTGATATACAGCGTTTCACGCTTTGAGCTTCGTAAATTTCATTGTTGGTGGCGTTGCCTTTACGCAATGGGTGATACTGACCCCACCCTCAATCTACCCACTTATCCGAATATGTGTACTACCAGCTAGCAAATTTAACGAGGTTAAGGAGTGCGTCGGCTGGAAATCGAATCAGGGCTACTTGCATGACTGAGGGACACTATACTAATTAATCACCGATATTCAATTAGACGCATTTCCCATTCTATTTCTGTCATTTCTCACTATACATTATAACATTTGTTCGACCGAGTTCTACCTTATCACTGTATGGCATTCGATTTAGACACTAATAATTTTCTCATCTTAAACAAAATATACGAACTCGTTTCCATTGCGTGCGTGATTACAATGTGCACAAAATGTCCATATACACTTAGGTATTTGTTCCCCTGTTACTCACGAACTACTCACACACTCAAGATCAATAAGGCAAGACTCTGGAATTCTAATGAACTGCCAAACATCACAAGGCTAACATTAGACCGAAGCAATAATCCCGTTGAAGTAGTTAATCAGAAAACTAACCCTTCGTCTGATACACCTAGGAATTCAACACTGTTATCTCACAGTCAGATAACTCGTTTTTCTCCCTGTAAGACAACTAATCAATACTTCATATCTGAGGTCAACACACTGGTAAACCGAAGAATTTCGAATTCATTTAAATCACAACAATTGTAATATATTACTTACAATGCATGCACCACAGTTGTCTTGAGTTGGAGTATTCGAATCCACGTTCAAACAATTGTCGCACACATAACATTTTATGGAATGAACTTGAAACGAAAAAGAAAGCACATTCAACAGATGATAATTATAATAATGACAATAATTACAGTCGTGGTTCAGGTATATTCTGTAGACTAGTGAATGAAGCAAATCAGTCAATTGATTTCTCGTCTAATATTTCAGCGAATATTTCCAAAGTATGATTAACATTCAAAAGTCAGTTTCGTCATCCTTGAGGTGGTGTTAACTTTGAAGCAAACACAATGTGTTGCACTAATTAATCACCTATCAAGCGATGATCATCTTCAAGCAGAGATGAAGATGGATGGTTGTCTCTGAAAGACAATGTGAACTTTAACAATGGTGATTTTGCTCGAATGAAGTAATATTTGGCAGTTGGGAGTTCGACCTAGTACTGCTTGTTTGCGGGAAGTGCTTGGTACATGGTCCCTGCTGACCCCACCTTGTTGGAAGTATTCCACTTGATTCTCAGTACTTGTTTTGCATTTGAGAAACTATTCCCTGAGCTGTATGGCTGACTGTCTGGCTGATGGCACTGTTGAAGTAATTTTAACTTTTCGTAGGCTATTTTTATTGTTGAACAGTTCCACAGATTGTTTCACAGGTAACTGTCATTCTACTGTGGTTGGAGGCCTTTTTTCAAATGCAGTTAACTCAAGGAACCTTTGTTCAGCCATCCATTCTAACACGAAGATTGCTCTCCAGCATCCAGAAGATAAGACGTCCGTCAGAGTTATCAACTTCAATCAACTTTCATGAGGTAGTGATGATCTCACTTTGGAAAGACAGACTGTCCTATATTAGTGTCCACTTTATTCTTGGGTACAACTCTTCAGTCATGCAATAAGGACTGCAAGCCTTATTCACGTTGTTATCAAAATATCCTAGTCTATATCATGACAATGGAATACGATATCTGTCTTCTGTGGACAGGTTAGTCAGCGATGATTACTCCAAGTCAGTCAAAAGTGGATGTTATTTTGAAACTTCCTGTGCTTTATGATCTCTATTTTACCTTGCATCTCATGAGTAGAACTCAAAGCAACCGAACCGTCAGTCTCTCTGACTATCTTTCATGCGTGATGCTCACTTCTACTACTACAAACACACTGGGAAATAAATGACACAAGTTATTCACGCAAATTTGGCGCTCTGACCAAGATTATTATCGGAACATGTTTCCTAGATTCAGTGAAAGATGAACAGCCTTCAGCCATTTTGTGACTCATAATACAAAACTGGACATGGACCAACAATACTAATCAACACAGAAAAGAACACGATATTCAACGTACCATTTTTCACTGTTAAGCTCAAAAATATCACCAGCAACATCACTGATGAAGTCAATTTAGCATAAGCCATTCTGATGATGTTGACGATTGAAATACTACTAAATTGTGCTCTAATCTCATTAAATATTTTTCAACACACATGAATTTCATGTTACCATGATTTTGATGACCAATTGACCAATAGTTATTCACCCTATCTGACCATGCCATTTCAAAGCTGACAACCAATCAGTGTTCACATTTGACAAATCGCTAAATACTGTTTACTTACTAAATTCATTCCGTTTCAACTCTACTGCACCACGACAATTACTCTGAATATCATTCTGTATGATTTAGTACATAATAGGCAATGGTGATGATGTTCAGCTCATATCTTGATATTGGGAGTGGAAATGACTTATTGAAAGGTGTCATGGTCATTTTCGTGTCACATTCAGTCTGAACATTTAGATATGATAGAGAAGGTTTGTAGCTCAGGTGGATGATTTTGATGTGGTTGTGTTCTCTGAGCTGGATAGTTCATTTGCGAAGCTTTCATCGCCCTACTAGCGACATCTTCGATTTTAAGTGAGCTTTAAGATTTCTTCACGAGTTTATTATTCATCACTCCTGGTGACCTTGGACGTGATTGGTTGTTTTTGGGTGTTTTCACACTCTCTAGGTTACTTGTATTGGAACTGATTGTTTCTTTGACTTGAACTTTGACCCTTTGTGTGTGAGGTTTCTTTCTTATCGGTTGATAAATTTTCTCTATCACGACGTGTCTATTGATTAATGATTCACTGGAATGCCAAGCTTCTAAAAATTCTCTAGCATTCTTGTTGTTTCATCTACCTAATATTTGAACGTTGTCCGTGTCGAATTGATGTCCGTGGTTGTCGTAGTGATTGTAGTGATATGAAAGAGTGGATATCATGTTATTGACGGCTAGTTTATGATCATGGATACGAAGACGAAGGAGACTTCCACTTTGACCGATGTAGTATTCTTCGCAGTTGTTACAATTTATTTTGTATATGATATTGCTTTTATCTTCTTTCGCTGTTGAGTATATTGGTTGACATAGAACTGAGTGGAGTGACTTTGTTGATTTGTGTGCGACGTCAATTCCTAAAGGTTTGAAGAGTCTCGCAGTGATTTTCGAGATATTCTTTATATATTTTAGGGCGATTTCCTTTGTGCTTTCCTTGGGGGCTTTTGGTTTGATAGGTTGGCTTGGGGGTATGTGTCTTTTGATGAAATTCCGTGGATTTTCATTCTTTTGGAAGACATCCATGAGATAATTTTCTTCACTCTTCCTTAAGGTGGGAGTGTTGCAATGAGTCCTGGCCCTCTTGAATAGTGTTCGTATGCAGTTGCTTTTGTGTGTTATTGGAATGTTGCTGATATAATTCAGTATTTAGTCTGTGTGAGTTAATTTTCCATAAACTTGAGTTTCTAATTCCCCTGCGGTTGTTCGCTTCACTAAGATGTCCAAAAACGGGATTTCGTTCTCGGATTTCTCTTCTCTTGTGAATTTGATGTCCTTGAAGACGTTGTTTATTAAATTGTGAGTTTTATCTAACTCATTTCTTTTGATTATTACAAATATGTCGTTGACGTAACGTATCCAAATCTTGGGTTTTGTCTTTAGTCGAATTATGTTTTAGTGCCTTTGCATCACTGCTTCTGCAATCAAACCTGATATTAGCGATCCATCACATAGGTGTTCCTTTGACTTGTTCATATATTTGGCCGTTGAATTGGAAGTATGCTGTTAGGCATAGATTTATGCATTCCATCCAGCTTGTGTGTTGCATTTTTGATTGTTGTGGAAGTTGTTCATCGTTGCTAAGTAATTGCTCCATGGTTTCTTTTGCTAGTTTTTGTCCAATGAAGGTATATAATGCTGTCACGTCGAAGGATACCACTATTTTTTGTTCATCTATTTGGATGCTTCTGATTTTCTCTAGGAATTGGAATAGCAGAGTTGATGGAGTGATCACAAGATTCCGTTAGGTATTTTAGTTTTCTATATAATTCTTTGGATAAATTATATTTTTGTTTAGTTTTTGGTACCGGCTCCAAGAACCCGTTTAGTAACACCAAAAACTAAACAAAATATGTGTTCTACGCATGGCCCAAGTGGGAAATATTCTATGGCCGAGTCTACGAGCCGGTACCGGGCTCCAAGAACGCATCCTGGTTTTCAATGGTTCTCTAACTGATATCAATCCGTGATCAACCCGATAAATTATATGTTGAAGTTCCTGGGAGTGATACAATTGGTCGTAACGGGATATTTGGCTTGTGTATTCTACGGCAGACCCGAAACTCGGCGAGGCGTTCGAAATGAATACAGCAGTAAGACAGGGCTGCCTCTCTACTGTCACCAATGATACTCTTAATTGTGGTGGAGTGGATTATGCGTCAGACTGTGCACAGGAAGTTAGAAGTCTTGAAAATACTTGACCGATAAGAAGATTCTAGAAATTTTGGATTTCACGCTTGGATGACTTATTTTTAAAGTCACATACACACACACAAACTCGAAGACTTGCAGGCGAAAACCAAAAAACTGGCAGAATAGGCAAGCTAGCACCGTAGACTGGAAGGACTCTAGATGAAGAAGATAGGGAAGACGCAGGTGATGAAGGTCAACACCAACCAACCAACAACAACACAGCCAGCACCAATCACCATCAACGGGAGAGATTTAAGAGAGGTTACTTCCTTCACTTTTCTGTGTTGGAAAGCCAAAGAAAATGGAGATGGATCGAGCATGTGTTGTGTAGGCCACCAAGTGACATCACGCTCAGTGCTGGCCACTGGTTTAGCAGAATCCCAATGAAAAGCGTCTCATTGACGAGAATGGAATGTAGCAGATCGTTTGGGGATGGGGAAGTGAGAAATTATAGGCATCATGGACCCAAATGAGGAGGACAGGAGAAAATAGAACAAACTGGAGATATGTTGTTGAAGGCCTTTGATCCACTCGGAACATAAGAGAATAATAATAATAATACGGTGGTTTTTCATTAATGTTTCAGGGGTCTCATAAATTCTACTACTTGAATCTTAATGTATTCGCACAGATAAATTAAAAAATATGACTGATGAACTAGAATTCTACTGTCAGCACATGAATGATACATTTTTGATTATGAAGAATGAGGATGAAGTAAAGAACATCCTGCACAAATTTAACAGTGTTTATCTGGCAATACATTTTACCATCGAGAAAGAAGGAGACTCTGGTATTTCATTCGCGGACGTCCATATGACTAAAAAGGAGGACTATACAATAAGAAGAAGTGCATGCAGAAAGCCTATATCAACTGGTCACTATACTCATTTTTTTGGCTTCGTGGCTTAGAAATACAAACACGATCTAATAAAGTGCATGGTTTACAGAACGAGAGTAATCTGCTCTGATGAATGTCTTAACAAAGAGCTTAATACTACTAAACAGTTGCCGAGTGAGAATGGCTACTAGGGAAATTTATCGATAAGAATATGAACGTAAAGACAAGGCAGGCCATTTTGCCGACAGTTCGGAAAAAGTCCTTCTTCTTACAACTTCAGTTCGTCGGGCATAAAATCAGTGAGATAATAACACAATGCCTGAGGAATGCGGTGCTGCTGAATCATAATAATTCGCTTGATTCCAAAACAGTGCAAATGTTACTGTATGGAATTTCAGCATTCCATAAAATACTGCATCTAAATTTATAGAATAATATTAACAGCAAGTGTAAAGGTAAAATTACACAACTGTTAATAACAGTACTATTTGTATTATTAGTAAGAGTAAGATAATACAAAGAAAAAAATTTAAACTCATGATTATAATTCAGATAAAGCAATAAGAAGACGTAATTTGTCTGAATCGTGTAATGTATTTGCGCAACACATTCCGAACAATCTGATCACACACGGACTTGTCATAGGAATGCATATATGAAATTAACAAAGAGGTAAGAGGTGAGAAAAATAGACTTAGGTCAAGTTAAAAGGACATATTCAAGGTCAAAATAACAATGAAGACCACTAAACCAAATAGCAGAGGTAATAGTACATCTGCTATGGTATCAAAACAAAATTTACCAAGGAAGGTTTAATTTGATGACAAATTGTTTTTGAACGCATAAATGTGGCTTGAACTTCCTAATTGCCACTTAGGGCTTCCACAAACTTTAGGATACGCCCCAAACACGTTTTATAGATAGGTTTAAAAGATCTGTTAACATCAATTTTATGACCTGTCTCTATAATATGTTTCGCAATAGAAGAGCTAGGTCTCCTGTTCTCACCGTTAATAGGTTCTGAAGATTCCATTTGTTTCTGGAGCCATTTAGGAACATGCTCTGAAGCCCTTACTTGCAGAGATCGATGAGTCCTCCCTATGTATGTGTGTCCACACGTACATTCAAATTGGTAAATACAGTGGGATGTGACGTCATTTTTCGCATGTTCGTAGGGCTTCTTTACATTCTCTAATATTATGATATTAGCTGCATAAAAAGTCTTTTTAACAGCAGCGTTCAGCCTTTGTCTAGTTATCAAGTTGCTTTGATGTCCCATATAGGGTGGCTTGATGTACACGTCTTTCTTAGGGGCGAGTTGGAGAGTGGGTCTCGGTGTTCTGACTACTTTATATCTCCTGATGAACTTGTCTGGATAACTGTTATCAACCAGAGTTTGTGTCAATATTCTTTCTTCTTCATCAAGCGTGTCTTCAGTGCATATTCGTCGGATTCTACTGAAGAGGCACCTTACTAAGCCTCTTTTGTACCGCACAGGGCAGAAACTGTGGTGATTAAGATACTGTCCTGTCCAGGTGGGTTTTCTATAAATATATCTTTTTATTGACCCATCAAGCCGTCGACTAAGCAATATGTCTAGAAAAGATAAACAATTATCTTCCTCTTCTACAGATGTAAGTGATATGCTATTCTGAACTTCATTCATTCGATTACAATAAATTACTACAAATTGGCGTCGCGATGGAACTAAATAACCTGGGAAACTTTCCTATTAATGGGTCTCCGCGGGAGATTGCTGATTACCTCGAATGCTTCGATGCGTGGTGCATTTCAAAGAATGTTCGGGATGACAAAATACCAGCACATTTCATCACTGCTATTGGGCTAGATGCGTATAGCCTA